ATGTAACTGGAGAAGTACTCTTAAGGAATGTTTCACTGTTTCCTATTGGTGACCTGAAAAGTAAGGGAATATTCCAACCAGGGAGATTGTTCCAGAAAAATATATGAGGTCTAGTAAATTCTTCTGAAATCTTGCTATTTCAAGTTACTGTTTTCTGGACTGGTGGTCATGGAGAAAGACAGAAGGAAAACTAAAAACCACATGGAAAGCTGCCAGGCTCTACATCCCTACATGTCCAACCAGCTGCTCAGGAGAAAAACATGAAAAACTTATCGTCCCTATGTGGCAAATCTAAATGTCTTTTACAAACAGAGCCTGTTTGAGAGATACACAGCAATGTTAGTGTATTACAATAATTTTTAACTTGTGTATCAATGTGCCTTTTGGAGTATTTTATTCAGTGTTGGTATCTTCTTCACCTTAGTAGTCAAAGAATCACAGAATCTTTCAGCTTGGAAAAGAAAGATCTCTGAGGTCATTGAGTCCAATCTATGACCAAACACCACCATGTCAACTAGGCCATGGTACTGTCACATCCAGTCTTTCTTTAAACACTGCCAGGGATGGTGACTCTATCCCCTCCCTGGGCATTCAATGCTTAACAACCCTTTCTATGAAAAAGTTCCTCCTGATGTTCAGCCTGAACCTCCCCTGGCACAGCTTAAGGCTGTGTGCTCTCATCCTGACATGTGTTACCTGGGAAAAGAGGCCACGTCCCTGCCTTGCTCCTTTTAGTAAACTGCAGAGTGATAAGGCCCCACCAGAGCCTCCTTTGCTCCAGGCTGAACAGCCCCAGCTCCTCATCAGACTTCTGCTCCAGACCCTTCACCGGCTTTGTTGCCTTTCCCTGGAAATGCTCCAGAACCAAAATGTCCCTCCTGATCTGAGGGGCTGAGAACTGAACACAGGACTCAAGGCATGGGTACAGGGGGACAATCCCTGCCCTGGTCCTGGTGGCCACACTATTGCTGATACAGGCCAGGATGCCACTGGCCTTCTTGGCCACCTGGGCACATGCTGGCTCATGTTCAGGTGCTGTTGCCCAGCACCTCCAGGTCGTTTTCCACCAGGCTGCTTTCGGCCCAGCCCGTACAGGCAGTAGTAGCGTACAGTGTATAGTAGTCGTGTATATGCCAGCAGCCTGTTCTCAGCAACAGCAGCACCAACTGCCCCTGCTGATGAGCAGACACTGTGAGGAGATCATCCTCAAGCCTCTCTTGTGGCCCCAAGGAAGAACCAGCATGTGGAGAACAGCAGTGTCATGGCTCCTGTTTAGCTGGTTATCCAGGTCACTCTTTCCCAACATATCATCATCTTTGTCAGCATCTTCTGAGCCAAAATCCTCTTTCAAACCAATGGCTGCACAATGATGGTTAAATTCCTGTCATGTAGGGTGGAGAAAACAGAGCCAAAAAGGATTATTCAAAGTTACATATCTGTGTAACTTCTCATTGTGGCAAAGCCAGAGGGTTCATCACCTGGCAGGACCAAGGTAAACAAACAAGTCAATTTCTATCAATTCTTATTTTTGGAACAAGTCTGATATTATTAACATTTTTGTGGGGGAAGATCCAAGGATGTGGCAGAATCCCAATATAAGCTAGGTTTGCTCATATAATCTCTCAATAAGCCTTCAAACTAGTCTTATGACAAGCATATTGTTTGAAAAACAGATAGGGGATTTACTCAAAGGCATTCCTTCACATATTTTCCCATGAGTATTCCACATTAGTAATATTAAAAAATAGTCTATTGTCTGGAATAGCAGACATGGGACTTGGTGCTATTTGAGGGTCTTACACACAGAACTAATGATCCAAAACATCACCTCATGCAGAATGCAAATATCCATATATATGCAGAAAAGCAAATGCAAGGGTGCACACACCTCTCCAAGTGCTGCCTACTCCAATCCCATTCCAGCCTCAGTGGAAAGCCATTGCTAAATTGTGTGTACTTAGTTGCATCACAGCATACACAAATCTTAAATACAAACAATTACTATCAGCATTGTACTGACTGTGATTTGCCTTTGTTTTGTCTTTCTACCTCATTTTCTTTTCAAACCATCAGCCACTTTAACGTTGGAAGTCTCCATACCACTGAAGCTAACTATTTACCATTATGCTAACTGTAATCTAAAGTTAAGCATAAGATATGTGTGTGCAAGTTAATAGGTATTTATCTTTTTCTTCTAAGACAATTATTTTTGTTAAGACAAAATTACTTTAAGAGACTATAGTCCAGTTACAATCAATCAATTTTGCTAATCTCTAAAAATATCCAAGGTAACAGTGGTCAATTTATAGCAGTCCTTTCTCTATGGAGGCAAAATACAAAGGTTCTTAAAATTTTCCATCCAAGTCTCATTACAGTCCAGCTAGGGAGTGGCAACAGGATGAAAGCCAAGGAATTTCCAGAAATCTTGAAGTGCTACTAAGTCACTACTGACGCAGTGCCTTGATATTTGCTTGATGAAAGATGCAGGGCCATTCTGCCCCTAATTAGCAGATATTATCAATGCATCCAAAAAAAAAAAGTAAAAAAGTTTTGCCTGCTTACAGTGGGGAAAGAAAAAGGATACTTACTTCCCCATTTAGGAAAAAACACAAGCTTTTAGCACTCTTTGACCCCAGTCTTTGGAAAAAACTATTTTAGTTAACACATTTTCTAAGTCACTTCCTCAATTCAAGTAATTTTTTTATTCACATTATATTTGGTTTACAGTTTAAAAGATTAATACATCTATTGATGTGAAAATACCCTAAAAAATATTAGTATGTGTATAAAATCTGGACACCAGTCCTGTGGCAGAATGTCTCCCAAAATAGGTTTAATGGAATACACAGGGGAGAAGCCCTAATGAATCCTGAACTTCTTTAGCCACCACAGAAGCTCTAGTGGTTTACATGCAGGAATGTAAGAATGGACATTGTAGATTTCCTTGGGGTGATTTCCTGGATTTCAAAGTGGCAAGATCACATGCTTCAACATAGTTATGAGAATTTGTATTTGGTTGCAAAGGCATAATTTATTGCACTATTCTGTCTCCTTCAAAACCCTCAGAAAAAGAATTGGTGTGAACCCTGAACTTATGCCTTAGCTTGTTCTCTTGGTCTCCTTAGACTTCTACTGCTACTTTCTGTTTTTTAAGCAACACTATTAAAAAAAAAAAAAAAACAAAAAAACCAAAAAAACTCAAACAAACAAACAAACAAAACCAAAAATCAAAAAACCAAACAAATCAATCTATAACACAGGTGGAGAACATGGGTAGATATTCCTGGTATGTCTTTGTGGCTTTTTCTGCTGTAATACAACAAAACAGAAAAGCATATATATATATATATATATATATATATATATATATAAGAGAATAACACAGGACAGGCCTTCACACTGGAAATAATGCAACAGCTCTTCCTGTGGATGTGAAAAATCCATTGTTTCCACGCCATGTTCTAAAAAATAATGTTAAAATGGCTAGGCTTACGGCTGGCTGAATAAAAATAAATGCTGTGAACATGCCACTGTCTCCTTAGTCTAGGTTCCTAGTAGTCAGGGGTACTACCCCATAAAATGTTTGTGATAAGAGATTAAATAATCTCTTATCACAAACATTAGTGACTTAGACAAGTCACTACCTGGCTTCATATGTAAATCTCAAACTGGCTACGGTACACTAAATTGCAAAAACTAGATGAAAATACTTTTACAAGGGGATAGGCTTGGAAACCTTCCTGTCTGCCTCTTTATAAGGCTGTGCATGCAGAATCAAAACAAAATCTAAACATTATACTTCATATATGTATAACTGAAGTGTGAATATATATATATATATATATATATATATATATATATGTTTATATATCCTATATTCCACTCTTCCAAAGTGCTTATCCTTTTTACAAAATACCTTGTTTGTGAGACACAATGCAAACCTACCCCTATTTTAGGTCTGGAAATTCTCTAGAACAGTAGAAATTGATCCAGCCTTCAAGAATCCTGTGGACCAAAAGGAAGTCTTCTGATACATCCCACAAGGAGACCATATACCAACTAATTACTCATCAACAATATCACCAATATCACCCTTCCCTCTTTTCTTGCACTCGCCACAAATTTAGTGGATTTCCATTTGTACTGGTGAATTAAAGTTCCTCACTTTTTTTATCCCTCCTCCAGTCTTCTAAGGGGGTTTTCCACTTTGGATACTGTAGTTCTTTTCCAACAACTGTAGCTGCCTCATTCCAAATCTAGGAAAAAGCAGATGCCAGGACATTATTTCTTGAATGTGAAGCAATTGTTTAAATGCTCTCTCCCCTTTGAATGGGAGCTGAAAACTTGACCCATTTAGACAGGCAGAATTACAATCACACACAAATTAAAAGCAAAGATACTTTGTTTTTTCAATTACCTGAATGCTAAGAACCAATACATAATCCCTAAGATGTTGTAATAAATGTCATTGCAGATAAAATTATCTGTATCTAAAAGCATGAAAGAGGGCAGTCAGACATTTCATTGTCAACGTGGAAAAAATAAAGGTTGAATAAACTGGTTTCATAGCTGTCTTCCAAGCCCTTGGCTCAGAAGCGAGGTTGGAAACAGATTTCTGCCTCTTGCTGCTGGTGGAGATAATTGCTACAGCAGGCCCTAACTGCTTCAAGTATTTTTATTTTCTTTTTGGTGGAATTAACTTGTTTTTTTTTTTTTTTTTAAGGAAATTTTAACACAGAAATTTCAACTAGGCACATTGTCAATTACTCCCATCCTCTGTTAGAGACTGACTAAATACCAGAGGGTAGAAATTACATACTTCCTGAAGGAAACCCTGCAAACAAGCACCTCACCTGACTATTCTAGTGATATTTGCTCTTTCTGCATACAGCACCCTTGACAGATGTGATTTCTTGGAATTGACAGCTTTCTCTTAACTTGTTAGAAGCTCCGCAAAACACAGGTAAGACATTCTGCAATAACTGTAGCCATGATTCAAATCAGTTTTGCAACTTTATTAGCTGTGCATGGTGAATTGCTTGAGTGTGCTTCAGGGTTAATCATCATTATCATGACAGAAATATGCAGACAATAAATAATGCAAAGTGTGTTTTCTAGAATATAGAGAAGACCTTCCATGTTAACCTTCCAACAAGAATTCCCATTTCTGGGGAACAAACATTAAATACCGTGTGCTCAACAGATTCCTCAGCTATCATGTATCACCTTGCATTGATCTCTGAGCAAGCTGCCTTCACAGCAATACAGTTAATAGAGGTGATGCAGATACCTGCCCAGGGGAACTGGTAGCCTAGAAAACGGCACCTTCTAGGCATGAAGTTTATGGTACCAACAGGCCAAACTTGTTCAGCTAGAACCTCTTTAATTGTTGTTGGCTGCATGTGTTGACAGGGTTGCTGCTGCTGCTCGTGCTCTGGCTCCGTTGATTCTTCTTTCTGTGCCAAAGCAGGGGTTGCTGCCTCTGGACCCCAAGACATGGAGAGGCAAAAGTGTAACAATATATCTTAGGGTCCTTCCTTCCTGGGCAGGGATTATGGAAGACTACTCCACTACAAGTCCTGCAGAAGAATGTTTCCTTAGATGTGGTTATGCCTGACCTTGGATAAGGGGTGAAATTTCTCAACACAGAACCAAGCAATTTCTGTACCAAGAATCAATGTTTGTTTAAATCAAGCAGTAACTACCCAGCAGATGCAACAACACAGAGCACCATGGCATAGAACTTCTATCCTTGTCACACCTTTGTCTTCAATAGCTCTGTAGCAATCCTGAGGGTGCTCCTCCTAGTGTGATATTGCCAAGGGCAAAGGAAGAAGGTGTAATTTTTTTTTCCTCTTCTCTTCTCTAGGCAGAGCCATGTTTTCCTCAGCCATAGGCCACAGGCTATCACAGAAGTTCAGGCTGTTAGCTTGGAAGCTTTGAAAGGCAGAGAAAATATAATCAAGCTGGAGACACCTAAGACTAGAGAGAAAGTGTGTCATGCAGTGAGTGCACAGAAGTCCCTGCTTGTAGTGCTACCCCACCTACTGAGGCATTGATAACACATTTTTAAGTGTCACCTGAGAGACAGTAATCCTGCATTTTCCTAGAATATCTGGTAACTGTGGATCCAAAATAATTTCTCTTGATTGTCACAGCAAAGAAAAAAACAGTGAGAGAAGCTAAGTTATTTTGTTGAAATGCTTATTTTACAAAGCCTATGGCTTTGAACAGCTGCTTAGCAAACTATGCAGTCCACACTGGTGTCTTTGGAAGATCAACTGCCCTGAAGAAAGTTACCAGAGAAGAGGTATCTGCTTGGCTCCTTCCTAAAATGAAACCAGACCACCATGAACACCAGATTCCAAGCAGGTGCACATAGCTCCTGGGTATGAATTCTGAATTCATAAAATAATAATGGAGCTTGTATCTCAGCTGCTGTTTTTTTGTTTGTCTCCCTTCTCAATCTTGTTCAGAGGATTTAATCAAGTTAATTTTTCTTGGCACTATGTTCTCCATGTTTTGAAGTATTAGGGGACAGAAAGATTTCTGCTACCACAGGAATATGATCTCACATGGAAAAGAAATACAGCATGCAATAAAATACCATGGATTGCTTTTGAATCACCATAACCATTATTATTAGGCTAATGCAGCCATCCCAGTCAAATTTGGGACAGTCATTTTTGCGGAGGGACTATTTAAAATTTCAGGCCATGAAACCAATAAGTTTTTTGTGGGAGCTGCCTGATATATCGTCCAGCAGTCAGACATTACGCTGTCACAAATGAAATGCTCTTCCTTTTCAAGTTTTATCTTCTTGTTTGGCTGTCACAGTGATCTTTCCATGAGTTTTCTTGCCGAGAGCAGAAGGAAAGACTCTGGCATCAGGAAAGTAATCAGTCAAGATCATTGTTATGCTGGAAGTAAGCCACCTTTTATCTTAAGACATTTATATCTCAATTGAAGATCCAAACACCCACTCCAAGCAACCTCCTGAACATAGGGGAAGGATGTGTGCTGTTTGACCTCCTGGATACAACTCCACATCTGTCTTGCCATCATAGGAGATGGGCGAGATAAAAACCACCACAGGATAGGTTGTTATCCTCCAGGTACATGATGTAATTTACCAGTGATCACAATGTTTAATGTGGTAGCACCATATTTATATAAAAGCCATTATGTGTATACTCCTACTAGGACAGCTAGCAGGCAGAGATTTTCTCCTGAAGCTCTGTATGACATATTATGCATGCTCAGCCTAGTACAGAAATTGGTCTCTAAGAGATATGAATATACTCAAAACTAGTTTTTGCATATACTCAGTGAGTCCAGTGAAGGGCTGCAAAGATAATTAAGATACTGGAGCACCTGCCATACAAGGAGAGGTTGAGATTTCTGGGACTGCTTAGTCTTGAGAAAAGGCTGAGCCCCAATGTGTATAAGTACCTAAAAGGAAGGTGTGAAACTCAAGACTCTTACTGGTATCCTCTGAAAGGACATGAAATAAAGTACATTCAATTTACACATAATTTTCATTTATCTATTTTTAAAGAGAGCATGAACAAACACTAGAAGAGGTTATCCAGAGAGGTCGTAGAGTTTCTAATCTTAGAGATATACAAAACTTAATTGAGCACAGATACTTTCCACTGATTGTGTGAAGTAGGAAAATTTCTTGGAGAAGCATTTATCTGGCACAGATTATCAGGTAAAACCCTCCTGTGACAAACTGTGACAAACAAGGGCTGTGACAAACATGAACCTGCTGAAAATCCCCAAATCCTACTGCCAGACCTACTGCTTCTAATTTTCCTCAGCAGAAGGTGTTCACAAAGACACTAAAAACGAAAAGCTACTTGCTCTCAAGCTGGAGTTTGATACTCAGAGTGTTCATATGCAGAGCTCACTTTTTCCCTTTGCTCCAGAACTCTGCATATTTAGTACTTCATAGCCAGGAGGGAAAAGCATGTTCTGTTAGTATAAAAATGTGAGGAGGCTGAAGACACAGATACAGCACATAGTTATTAGTGGTAGAATTTGTGAACACTGCAATGTGTGTAAGGTCTGCACATTGTCTCAATCTTTTTTTTACTTGGTTAACTTCTGTTTCCTGAGGTGTATTGTAAAATGAGTAAACATTTTGAGGAAGAAAAGCAAAAGATCTGAAAGGAGATTGAAACAAATCTCTTCTTCATCAGTCTGAATTCTAGTTCTCAGCAATCCATTGTAAAGGTAAGGTGATTTTTAACACACCTGTTTTACTCAGTGTTTCTTGCTCATCAGTAGTAAAGTAGTTCTATGTTAACCTTTCTCTGCTAACAAACCTTACTATTTGTATAGACAAGGGAAATTAAGGTAGTTTCTAGGCCATCATTGAAAGAAAAAAAGACTCCCCATTAAAAAAGTCCTCCTTTTTTCCATACTGTTTCAATTGCTATAGCAATTGCTAGCAGAGAAGTGTGAGATGAAGTTGACTTAGCATGTACAGAAGTGATGTACACGTAAGCTTCCTTTTTCTTGTTTTGGATTACAAAAGGTCAAGGTAGCTTTCTAAGCATCCATTGTCAAAAAGGACAACGCCTCCTTGGCATATGCTGAAAATGAAAACAGTCCTAAGAGTAAAGGAAAAGTAAAACAAGTCTCTGTAGACACAAGGCAACCTGTCACCCAACTCAGAGAAGCAAAACATTATGCTGCTACTCAAAGGATGGCTGCAATGATACCATTCAGTTCTGTCAACATCATTCCTTTCTGAAATAACCCCAAGAGAAACCCCACTTATACAACACAACAACCTTGGTTTTAGTAGTTCGTTGTCTCTTTTGATGAGACATTGAATAGCCCACCTAGACTGGCAGTCTCATGCTTTATAAATACAAGTTTATACTTCTTAGGAAATGACAATTTAAAATAGCTCTTAAAATACTGTACTTAAAAGATACAAAGACTTCTGTTACAAAGTTGCAGTCATAGTATTAGCTTTTAAAATAAATTAGGCACAAAATAGATTAGCAGTACAAATGCTTCATTTACATATCCTTCCCTGTCCCTGCTCCAACATCCATTGCCATCTGTGAGTTGAGAGATCACACCTCCAAAAAATAATGTAATTATTTTTTTCACCAACACAGTGTATATTTTTATCTCACAAAACTTTCATTTGTATGGGTTAGAATCTGTTGTGTGAGGAAATTCTTGAATTCCTCAGCTTACCAGGGAATGGTAGTGGCACCAGCAGTACAGCCCATCCTCACGGCTCACTGAATGGCAGCAAGAAGTCAGATCCACTACAGGCTTTTCTGGCTACATGCTAAATACATGTGGTTTCTTGGTCTTTTCTTCCCCCCAAAGTTGCCAATTATTGGTTTGTGATGCATGATCCTATTTAAGGCATTATAAACCAAAGCAACTAAATTCAATTAATATATTTCATAATGAGGTGAAAATAAAACAATTTGCTGGACTAAAAACAATAGTTCAGATGAAAGCTGTTGATTAAGAGCCAGTTAAAAAGCAACTCTTAAAAGTCTTGTTACTATTGAGAAATGAGGCACCCAAAGTTCACAGCTGCTAGTGAAGCAAACTTTTCCCACCACCACCTCTAACTAACTTCAACATCCACTTTAGAGCTGCTGGTGTCTGAATTTTGTGCTTTTTCACTCCTTCTTTGGTCGACCTTTGAAGGTATTCATGAGATCAAGGAGTCCAAAGTAGTCTAAAAGAAGAACAGTCACTTTCACTGGTAGGAAACTGTAAGGTAGGGACATGGAAGAAGAAGACAAAAAGAAAAAGAGAGATCAGAAGAGTTGTGCAGTTTTGTCACAATTAGTTTAACTTGGCTAATACTGGCAAAGGCACTATGCTCTTTAGAATATAGACCCACTGGTCCTCTCAAAAGATCCTTTATACTCATTTGGCAGCCTGAGTTATAGTTAGACCAGTATTCCAACCTGGCTCGCAACAGAGTCAAAAGTGTCCAAATGCTAGAGCAAGACACCAGATGGGTTTACAGCTGAACTCAGTGATCTCAGAGGTCTTTTCCAACCAATAATTATCTGACATGCAGTTATGGAGAAGCAGGTGGTCTCTACAGCCCCCAGTAAAACTGCACCCCAGTGGAGTCAGCAAGGCACAGTTAGACATTTCTGCCATTGTTCTGTGGCCCAAGGGTAGACTGAACTCATAGAAACAAACAAACCCCTTCCAAAAATGTGCATGACTTAATGAAAATTCAAACCAGCAAGTAGAAGTCTCTTTCATGCTTTAAGCATCCCCAGACAGAAAAGAGAGAGAGGGAAAGAAACATAACTTACCTTTTCAAAAAATAGAAAACATAGGTGATGCGTGGTATAAACAAGACTTCTTGGTTCTGCCGAACAGCACTGATTATCCTCTCGGCCACATACTCTGGCTCCAGAACAGGAAGCACATGTGGCCACCTGAAAAAGAGAGTATTTATTGCTATAATACAAATTGCTTTGGATTCACATTTTCTTCAAAAAAGTCTTAATTTTACAGTTATTCAACTAAAAAAAGAAATAAATGCCACAAGTCCTATGAACAACAGAATCTGCATTATGTCAGAGTGAGTGGACATTGTTATTTTCCCCCATATGACCTCTCATAAGAGAAAACCAGAGACCTCATATTAAGACACACCAGACTTTTATTTGGCTCCTAAACTTTGTCATTATACATGCATACTGAGCAAAGCTATGCCATCAATTTCAGGAGGAGAATGGGGGTTTAGAAACCAGAGAGAACAAATGGAGCATTTGGCTTCTGCAAAGGAAAGGACACAATTATGTTTCACATTTCAGCTTAAATGAATACTAAAGTACCGAGGCCTTTTGAGTTGCCCAGTCACTGGACAGCACTGCTAACACCCATGTGAAGCCTTAAACATACTACAAGTAGAAAAAAGCCTGGCTCATGATTTTCATAAAGGAAATAGGGATTTATAAGATGCTAAAAATGCAACTTTCATAAAAAACTCACAAGAGTTTACTCACTTGGATTTAACACCATCAAACATTCCCGTGTTTATGACATAAGGACACACAATTGTTGTTTTAACACCAGTCTTTCTCAGAGCTCTCATCTCCGTATCAACTGACTCTGCAAAACCAACTGCTGCAAATTTACTTGCACAGTAATCTGTAAAATAAAACATTAATTGTAGTTAAATATTTAAATTTACAAATTAAACTTTACTGTCCAATACTAAACCACTTCACATCAGAATAGGAATGGTTTTCAGGATTAGGTTAAAATTTGCTTTTGATCTGATTCATTCCTTTTCTTTCCTCTCCTAAATCAACTGTTGTTCTAGACTGGCAGACAGAGAGTTTCTCATGACATTCCTGCTACCACTTTTCCACTCTCTAACAAACTATGGTAAATGAAATTATTTTTTCATACCATTTTTTCTTTAAATCCATGCACTCACTTATTATGCCTCAAACTCCTGTTTTCAAGACTCTCTAATGTGGTTTCAACTTGAAATTCAGTTTGTACTTATCATCACCCTCTTGGAGCTAGATTTCTCTTACTGCTAGGTCACCTTATTTTATATTCTGCCCTCTTTGTATACACATTCCAGAAATGCCTTCTGAGCTTCCTCTAAATCTAAAGTGACCTCTTCCCTATCAGAAACATGCAAGTACATTTTAGTATTGAGGTTCTCAGCTTCCAAAGTTTATATGGCTTCTAGATCCTTCTGCCTTGGCAGAAAAACCTGTTTCACAGCACTGCTGAGCTTCTGGAAAACGCTTTGTAAAGAAATGGTCTGTTTAAGGTCAGCTGTCTTGAAAGATTGTCTACTTGCTTTAACTATACAGAAAGATCCATAAATTCAAAATAAGTTAGGTTTCTTTTCCCTCATGGATATTGATTGCAGAGTTTAAAATCACACTAATTACTCCAATGAATATTAGCTTGAATACACTACCTGAAGCCTGACTGGTTCCACACAGTCCTGCACCGCTTGCTATGCTAACCAAGTGTCCATGGTTAGCGGCAATCATTGCTGGGAGGAAGGCTTTGTAAGTCTGCAAAGTAAATCAGAATTGTAATGTAACATTTTACCAAGTAAGCTACACGCCATAATATTTTGAAGGTGTTTGATGGTTTTAGAGAAATTCTCCCAACAGTTTAAATAAGCTTTCCCCCTTCTATTATGGAAAGGATGTGTGTATGTATGTGGAGCTTGAACCACATGTTGTTTGAACTCTAACATTCAACTATTTAAATGGGTAGTTCCCACCCCAGGAGCACTACCAAAGACAGATGGTGACTTGAAGAAAGCTAAATATATGGCTTAATCTAGTAATTAAGTTTCTTTCAAATGAGAATTAAGTGTTCAATGCAAATTTTGGGAAATGGCAAAGATTTTAATTTCATGTTTTCCTTCTATTAAATTAATTAAATCATTGTGATTAAATTCATTTCTAAATAAACTGATTTCTAAATAAACTGAAACATGACTGAATATTCTCTTTATAATTCTTTATGATAGAAGCACCATATAGGTGACCTGCCTTCACTGAAAGGAAGAAAAAGCACACCAGGTTAGTCATTCTGGACAAAAGCTTCACTTATTATCAAGAGGATTATCAGAACATGTGGTGTTTCTTACTGAAATTATCACAGCCACAGAACAACTAAAACACTAACAGAACAGAAGAACTGAAGTAGAATTGAACACTTCTCTTTAATAGGGGCAGCCACTATTAACGTGGGCCTGCTTCATGTCAGTTAATAATGAGACTGTAACTTATGACTAGCCTCAGAATTTAGCAGATGGTAGACTTCAATTCTTAAGAGAATTTCTAAATGTGAAGAGCTTCCACCTGCCCACACTAGAGATTCCCAAAGAATCCATTCTTCCATGCTTTAAAAAAAAAAAATTACAGACTCCAGAGCAAATAAATAATTTCTTGTATAATTTCTGACTGAACTTCCAAGAGCTCTATATCCTTGCATGTTTTCCTCAATTCCAAAAGGCAAAATTAACATTGAAAACATGTTAAAAGGATGTCTTAGTATGTATAGGCTAAATACAGGTTTTACCCAGAAGTGTGCCATTGTGTTCACTTCCATGGTTTTTTCTACGAGTGAATCTGGAGAATCAAGAAATCTCTTCCCAATTACAATACCAGCATTGTTGATCAAGATGCTGACATCACCAACTTCTTTTTTAACCTAAAACAAAAAGCATCAAGAGAGTGTGCAATAAACACAAAACATTATTTCCAAGCATTATTTATGAAAACTTAACAAACAGAAATATTACACATTTAAGTAAGTTGAACTTATGCTTGTTATAGATCCAAACACATCAGGTCCTTGCAGCCTCACCTGAAGCCTTTTTAAAGGTGAGCTCTCAAATAGATTTTCTTCAGATTTGTGGAGCCCAACAGCTCCACACAAGCTTCTGCTTTCAGCACCTCTGTTTCCAAGGACAAATGTTCCAGATAAGTCTTTAATGCAGAAGGCTTAACTAATACAACAAGTATTTTTCTATTATGTCTAAGTAAACGCATCTTAAAACTAAAGAGCAATTCTGGACTAGAATCTGGTACACTCTACCCCAGAAATTAAGTTGGCTAAAAAATAATACGTATACATTAAACTCAGTAAGAGGAGGTATAGTTTTCATTTTAGCTCCAGACTGAGAACATTCATGAACAGACCCATTTGAGAGAACAAGTGTAGGCCAGCTGATTGCAAGGTATTATCTCAGCTTGCCAAAGGAGAATTAAAATATTTAATAAAGAATTTGAGATACAGGTCATTGATCTGAACTATCTGGGAAGAATGAAATGGGTAACACAGTGAAGAATTAAAGAATAATTTATCACCTATCCTTTATTCTAGCTTAACTTCCTCGTATTCCTTATATTCCAGATTGCTCTGATCATGTCTATTTTTTTAAACTAAGCTTTAGGGGTTGGGTACTTCTGGAACAGAAACATTAGAAATAAATTTTAAGCTATAGGTTTCAATAGCCAAAAGGCTGTCCTTCATCATGTTGGTACAGGAAAGAAACAATGACCTGATACATGCAGAGCCTTTGGGTTTTCTTCCTACATAAGTAATTTTTTCTTGCTGTCTCTGTGTGGCTCATGAAACACATATTAAAGATCCACATACATTTCATTTTGGCTTTAAAACTGTTTTATCAGGAGCAAAATTTTCAAACATATCCTGCCCTACCAGCGTAAATTTAGTTCACCATAGCCTTGCAAAACTCCAATCCTGCATAAAGCTGAATCACCAGAAGAGGAAAAAGAACCTGGAACCATGCTGTCGTATCTTCCAAAGATATGAACACTAAGAGCCAAAGTCTACTACGCTGCATGAATTAAGCAGTGGCACCAAGCACCATCTAATACTAAAGTCTTTTTGTAACTGCTGAGATTGGATGATTCTACATCACCAGTAGGACATTCTGAAATGACATTTCTGAAATAATGGTAGTAAGGTGTTTTCTTCTATGCAGATCAGCATGAGGATTATTAGTGAATCTGACAGTTGCTGAACGGCTGACAGAAGGTTTTAAATGAGAGACCACGCACTGGACCCTACTGCAAATTCTTTGTTCCTGCAAGCTCTGTTTGCATCATCCTGAACCCATGTCACACAGATCTACATCCTGTTCTCTTTTTCAAATTTCACCAGCATGGCTCAGCCACTGCTTTTCTCCACGGGCCCAGAGTGCTAGCCTCAATTCAAGTCCTCAAACCTAAAGGTTAATTTTCATCTGCTTCATCGCAGTATCCTTCACACTACAATATTCTTCCTCCAGCTGTCCCAGTTCAGCAGGAAGCACAGCTACAGGCCTATGGAGAGACATGCAACTTCTCTGCAAGGACAGCAGATGTCCAGCTCAGCTGATGTAACAGCTGCAAGGGGGACCAAGGCTGATCAGCATTACTGGAATACAAAACCGAGAGCACCAGCCTCTAACAAGCTGCAATTCATACACAAGCTTCACGTATCAGAAAGCCTATCATAGTCATTTTTGCACAGATAGAAAAATACAGAAGGCTAGAGCTTATTAAAGAGCACCAAAACATTATTTCAACCAAAATATGTTCCTGAAGACAGCTGAACTTATTGTTAAAAAAAATCATCCCCACGCAAGGCTCACTGTGGAAATCTCTTAGTTCAATAGTTAAGTTTAGCAAATTTTAAGTGAATGAGAACAAGTTCTTAGACTTGAAACTGTTTAACAATTTTAGCTTTTGGCAATACTGCTAGTCTGCCCAAATTATCTAACCACATGCTATGTTTACAAAGCTCTTCAGAAATGAAAGAAAGAAATATTTGACATCAAGATACATTTATTAATTCAGATAAAGTAAGTCTGCCAAAATCTCTTCACAGCAATGGAATTATTTGGAAATTGCCTAAGCAGTTAATCCTTTTTACAATGTATGGTCTTTTGGTAAAAGGCTGCCAGAACTTGAAATACTGCTTTAGCTTCAATAAATTGATTTTCCGCACTTCATGATTAAGTGCCTGCTCGGTCATTGAATGAATGAAAAATAAGCTACCCAGTTAAAATGAGCTACTGAAAAAAAGAGCCAGCTCTTTTTACTTTTTAAGGAATAAAGATACACAAGTCAACTCTAAAAACCAGAATCTTGAAATAGATAGGAAGTACAATACATTCAGAATGAATTAACTTTAATCTCTTGCTTTGAATCACTAGAAAACTTACTCATGCATCTTACACCCACACTTGCACTCATCCTGGAATAATGTCAAAATAATACACTTTACCTGGTCAGCTAGTCTGTAGACATCCTGTCTTTTGCTACAGTCACAGACATAGGAGTGTACTCTTCCTGCTCCTTTTTCTCTGGCCAGTCTAACTGTGCAGTTGAGCCCCTCTTGATTAATATCCCAGAGGACCACCGTGGCGCCAAGGCTGGCAAACTTCAACGCTAAGAGTCTTCCAATGCCACTTCCTGCTCCTGTTATTAATACGATTTCACCACTAACATTCTTCTTCCGTCCAGGAACAACCAAGAACACCAGTGATTCCAGCAAGTAGTAAACAAGAAGTACAATACATTTTAATGTTTCCAGGAAGAAGTTCATCTTCAGGCTATTTCTTCAGATACCTGATAAAAAAAACCCAAAACATTTACCAGATAGGGTAAACCATGGAGAAAATGCAAACATCAACATTGCAAAAACATTTTCAGATCCATTCTAAATATCTTCTCTACCCTGCTTTTGAGTATTGTTTCAAAGAAATATATAGATTTACACCTGCATATCTAATCCATTTGGATTCTATCCATTGTTTCTATCTTGTCTTCAGGTTGCTTCCACTTTCCTCCAGGATGCAGTATACAATTCATTTACCATTCAGCAGTAATAGGAAACACCTGCTCTCATCTGCTTTAGAAATTCACCATCCCTCATGCCACGGGTTTCATTCTCTGACAGAATGTGGACAAAAATCTGAAATAAATACATACTACTACTAATAATAAAAATATGCCCATTGAGCATCTCAAACAGAAATGCATGACAATTACAAATCAAAACTTATGGTTTGATCAAAGAATTTCAGTGCTCACAAACTAGTCCTATAGGTCAGGAAAAATTCTGCTTTTAGGACCACAATGTTTTTTGCTTTGTAGGCACTCCCTGTCACCATGAAATCACATGCAGAACAACTCACAGTCCCAACTGTGTTGAAAAATCATTAAGCATAAGGAGTTTCAGAAGGCAATATGCTTATAAATCTCCAAAGCACACTAGGTAAATACCTCTTTGTCACTATTGACTTTTCAGCTACCCACTGTACTACCACTATTGAGGAGAGCCTGCTTTTGCATTTGAACATAGTTCTTTGAGAATGCACTGCAAAACTGTTGAGTTTCTTCTCTTCACCTCCCTGCATTAAGCAAATGTCATAGGCTTGAATCATACCACCTCAGGTATGTGTTTAACCTCGCAATCTCTACACATCCCAGTAATGCCAACACCAAACAGGCCTTTAAGTCCTTGGAGGAATGTTATTTCATTTTCCAGTATATAAAAGCTGCAAGAAATTATGAAGCAATAACATCTTCTTTCTCAGCTAAAGGTAGAGCATGCTGGCACCTACACTTCAACCATTAGCACTTTTGGACATTTAGCACCTTTAGCAACCTTTAGACATATCCAGCCTGATTACATCTCTTAGTTAACTTTGCTATCTATGTGTACAGGTAATCGTGTTTGACGAGGGCCAGCAGATAAGTAACTTAGGTCTCTGCTACTCTGAGCAAAGTTCATGAAATTTAGCATGTGAACATACACGTGTTACCACAAATCTCAGGTTTTCTACATGGGAAACTAGGCCAGCCTTGAAAAGAAACAGGCCTCTGCTAGAGCAGACCTAGTTATTTTAGAAAGTTTTCTGGCAGAAACATTGGAACATCTTAAAACTGTTCTGATAACAGAAAAAACATTTGCCACAGACATAGTAGGTAGGAAAACAAGTTCTTTCTGGCAAAGTCATGGGGTGAATGCTTTCTATTGAGTACTTTCTATTCCTCATTCACATTAAAATGTGACAATATGTGTGCAGAGGCAGTAACTCCAGTAAGAAGTGAAGCAAATATCAAAACAGCACTGCAACATTTTTCTAGAGCCAATATTAGCATTTCCTGTAATAGGCTCTCTTATCTATACAGATATTACAGTTCTAAGCAAAACTAGAGTTATAAAGCAAAAATGTTATTAAATTTCATGCACATAAAAAGTGCAAGTTTTTGGAAGCCCGAGTTATTTGCTGAGTCTAAAACAGAAGAAACAAGTCTTTAAAATAAATGCAGCTTCTGAATTTAACTTGATTGCACTAATTTAATGCACTTAACATAAAACCCTCCACTTGCATGAAAGGAGACTGGTACCTCTGGCATAGATAAAGATGTTAAAGTTAATCCCTATGGAAAACCAAGTGAGGCAATTGCCTTCAGAGGCAATACACAATTTGAACTCAGTTTAAAACTTGTGACAGTAATTCTTTAAGTAAGAAATAGGCTTTTATAGGTCAGAGGCACCTTAGATCTTTCAGAAAAGTATACCTATCACTTAATGAAGTAAAGTTTATGCATACAGACCACAGGAGGCCCCCTATTAGAAGACCAACTCTGTATCCTTCAACAAGATGCTTAATTTCCATAGACACATCTCTCCCCTAACCCAGATTTAACTGGGCCTCCAATCTCACTCAACGCATCAATATTGCTAATTAAACCAGCTACTGTAACCAAGCATATCCATACAGACAATTAAATTTGCCACTCACCTGGCCGATTTTGCCTTATCAACTAAAGTGAGAAGGGATGCATTTACAAGTGAATTAACTAGGGGGGTCTTTGGCACATATAAAATCTCAGATCACTTCTGATGCCTTGTATTGTTTTTTAGTATGCCTATATCCACACAGACATAAGTGTGGAGGGCTTCTATGCAGTAGAGAAGTATCAGATGTTCTACGACATTTTATTGTCCTCACAGGTCCCCAGCCGGGTAATAATTAGCACTGACTCCACGATTCTCAGAAGGCTGATCAATCTCTTTATTATGTAGATAATCATTAAGAAACCCATTGCTTTCATAGACACTCATGATACAGCTGGACCTAACTGGTCCACCAATCCAAAAACCATCACCATTGGCTAATTAAGAAACCACCCTTTGATAAACAAATCTCCACAACGCATTCCTCATACTCACAACAACAGGTGCAGCAAGTGAAGATAAGAATTGTTTCTCATTCTTTTCTCTGATCTTCTCACAGACTTTTCCCCAGGACATTTTATCAGACAGATTTCAAGTGCAGATAACTTGGGCAGCAAAGGCTTATTGGTACATGCCAACCCTCACCACGGACAGGCCCTTGCAGACCTGACAGGGTTTTAAAGACCATCACTGCTCGCGAATCACAGCAGCAGGACCGAGGCTGGCAGCTGAACGGCACACCACCCTAGCTAGTCGAAGGACTACAGGCTGATCACGCAATCACCTGAGCAGTGTTTGACAAGGATGAATTTTTCTCACTGAACTGGGTGAGTTGCGATCCCACAAAAGTACAGCAGCCCTGTAGCTAAGGCTGCCCAAGTGCAGCAGTAAATTCCTCAGCCCCGGGGGATGCTGGAAAACCTCACTCTCACTTGGCACAGCGCGCCTACCAACCCAACCAGCACCATGAGAAACCCACAAGCAGCGTTCAGCCGCAGTGACCAGCTCACCGCCCTCCCCAGGCCGCACCGCTGCCCCGCAGCGCCCGGCTGCCCACGGCCCTCGATCCTCCCACCGAGTGCCCGCACACGCTGTCCTGTCCTGTCCCGTCCCGTCCCGTCCCCAGTCCACAACACCCCAGCACCGGGAGTACCTTGGCCTACCGACCTGAAGGACAGGCAAAGCACCTCCGCCTTCCGCCGTAGCGCAGCAGCTCTGGGGCAGGCAGGCGGGCGAGAGCGGGGCGCAGGGAGCAGGCAGCACAGCGGGGCGGAGCCAGGCAACCCTGCCTTTATCAGGCAGCCCGCCCCGGCGCAGGGCTGAGCGGATGCCCGGGGTCGGTGTCCGCTCCGCGGCGGCAGAGCGCTGGGCTGGGGATTGCGGGTGCCGCGGCGCTGTGCGCGCTCCGCCCGGGGCTGCCGGCCGCCGGGATGGGATTCACCCGGGCCGGGGGAGCGGGCCCAGCCCGGAGCTGTGGGGTCCTCCCTGGGAAGGAAAGCTGCGGCCCCGGGCGGCCGTGAGGACGCTTAGCCTCCGTGGGCTCTTTGCTGAGACCGGAGTAGGGTCGAAAGCTCAAAGGACGGAGTAGTTTGTTGGGTGGAGGCCCTCGGGACAACGCCCTAACTCCCACGCACTTTCTCTGGAGTTGGTTGCTGTTGTTTGTTGGGGTTGCGGTTTTGGTTTTTGTTTGTTTTAAAAATAGTATTTATACACATGAGGTGGTTCTCACTCCGTGCTGACACCTGCACCTAAAGGCGGGGTTGATGTAAAGAGATCACCTGGCCTGTGTGAAGCCATGCTGCATGGAAGTGGCTTCACTGGGGTGAGTGTGAACCTTTCAGGGTGGCGTCCTTTTGAGGAAATGAATGATACTTCAGTTTAAAAAATGAGTTTTGGCTCTACCCAGACTAGAGTATTTGGTTTGCTAATTCAGTGAAATGCTCTTCGTTTACTGCTATATATTCGCATAAGTCCCTTAGGGAAGCATTGTTTTGTAGGGTTTTTTCAGCCATATGCTCATCCTTAGGTAGCAGAACTCTGAAGCGTAAGTTGATGAACATTCACAACTTCAAGGGAGGTTTGTATGATGAGAGAATGCTTAGTATCACCAGAAAACATACGACTGAAGGCCTTTGCTTGGCAAATCATTATCATGATCGTTAATATGCCTACTTTACAGTATTGTTGTATTAAAGCAGTACCTTTAGGAGGCTAATGATAGTCAAACAGTGACACTGACTGCTGCTTTCTTTTTAGAAAAGTTTCTTCACAAAGTGGCTCACTTAAAACAAGAAAGTGTAAAAAAACCACCCTAGTTATTTAATTTTAAAAAGGTTTAAATATGAGTTTTGCATTAATACTTGGAAGTTAATAGTATTTAACATTGAGAGTGACCTTATGATTGGAGTTGGAGGCTAGAAGATGGTAGACACATCCCCTTTCCCCACCTTGTATGAAGATTTTGGGCATGTAAGAAACTTGTTGAATAAAACTTGCTGAAACAGAATTCACCACATAGCTTCACTTTACTAGTCTACCTTATGAAAGACTAAAACTAGTTTGTAGAGAAACTATTTTTGAGACTGTCAGATTAGCATCTTTCAGAGACTTGTGTCTGAGAAGACACAAATGGAATCATTACTCTTGATTCAAGTCTAGAAATGGAACCATGCTAATTTGTATCAGATGAGGATGCCACATGTTACTTTTGGACTGATTTTTGAGTGCTGTCAGAATTCCAGGAGTGTAGAATTGGGACTGGTGTTTTTGTGTAACATCCCACTGGTTGTCTTCAAAGGAACCCAAGGTCATTCAAGTCATAAGAACATATATGAGGAACTTTGTAAGTGCTGTCACTTCTGCTTGTCTATAGTACTTATGCTGTGTAAGTGTACTGCTAGTCTGTAGCATTTTTTACTGAGGGCTGCATTGCATTTTGGCCTACCTTAACTTTAAGAAAGCACTTGGCATCTGTTGTTGGGTAGATATTGGCACCGCTGCTGTGTACCCAGTAGCACACTAGAGTGCTGTTTATACTTCATGTGAATCTGTGGTAGATCTTTTATTACATTCACTTGACTTCACCACCACTTAATCTTGATTATAGATGTGTCACAAGAAGCATGGATAAAGCAAATAGAGAGTTAAGGCTGGTCTAAGCTGGATAAATTCAATTGCATGGTGATTAGAATAGTCATCCTCACTTTAGAATAAAAAAAACCAAGAATATCCTGTCATGCTGTTGGAGCCATATTCTCTTAAAAGCTCTCATGTTCTTTTTTTTATCAGAACACTCAAAATGCAATAAATATTTTGATATTAAAGCATCAGTTATCCCCCATGTACCTCAGCTGTTGAAGTGGAATAGTGTAATATGCTTGTAAACAGTCTGATCTTTCCACTTTCTTTGAATGCTTATTGTAGAATTCTAAAATGACCTCCTTGTGCTTTTCAACATCTTCACGAGGAGAAGTGGAGGGGCAGGTATTGATCTCTTCACTCTCATCAGGATTTGAGGAAACAGCATGAATCTGAGTCAGGAGAGTTTTAGATTGGACCCCAGGAAGAGATTTTTCACCCAGATGGCAGCTGAACACTGGAACAGGCTCCCCAGGGAAGTGGTCACAGCACCAAGCTCAAGAAGCTTGATGCAATCACGTTCATGGTGTGACTCTTGAGGTGTCCTTTGCAGGGCCTGGAGTTGGACTTAATGATCCTGATGGGTCCCTTCCAACTCAGTGTATTCTGTAATTGTGTGGTTAAGTTTTCATTGGCAGTATCAGCTGCTTTAGCAATTGTAGGTATGTCACTGCAATTGCAGCCTACACAAACTTGTCCTTAGTGACACCTTGCAACTTCTAGGAGAGGAGTGGGTCTTCATAAAAACCCTAGTGCCTTGCTCATAGAAGTCGTATGTGTCCTGTGTTGCCTCTGAAGGAAACAGGGCAAACACCACTTAGCCAGAGTTCCTCAAGATTGACTTTTCCTTTTTTATTCCTGCAGAAGACAAACAGCTGGGGCAGAGGAGATTCCAGTCAAGAGGAAGGATTATCTTCCTGAACACAGAAGACTAAGTGACATTCTGAATTTTCATTTACTATGTGCATTTCCTTTGAGTGGTTTTTTACTATCTAATGGAGGTTTATGAAATTCTAGTTCCATGTATTAGCAGATTTAAAAATAGAGGAATTGTAAAAGTGACAAACTATTACCCACTGGTGCCCTATTCATTTCATCTGGGAGAAGTGCCAAGTCCTGTTTCATGAGGGTGAGGGGCTGAGACATGCTGCATTAACATCTGTTCAAAGTTTTTACAAACTACACAGCAAACACAACCAGCCACTTTGGCGTCTCTCAAACATTAGGAGAGGGACAAATTCTCATTGGAAGAGGAATATGCCAGCACAAAGTATCACCATGACTTAGCCACTGGATGCTCAGCTCCCATAGTTCAGTGCCTGTTAAGATGGGTTTCCAATGTCAGGACCTGATAGATTGTTTTTAATTCCCTAAGCATTTCTGGCAGTGAACCTCATCAGAACAAGAAAATGTGTTGATATGGGCCAGCTCTGTGGTGAAATTTGTTGTATCCTCACACAGTACAGAGGATTGTGTGGCAAGAGGAATGAAAGCTTGCAAAACATGACTCCTTAATTTGGGTTCCCATGCCATAAGAAAGTGTGGTGTGGGTGCTCTTGCCTCTAACCAGGCAACAGGTAGTATTATACACAGGGGTGTGTGTGAAATTATGCTCTTTACCCATACATGAATGCCTGCTAAATCAATCTGGTAATCAGGCAGTGTTGGCTGTCCTCCCATCCCCAGAGTTAACCCACTTTATTCAGAACAGTGAGATGAAAAAAAAAAAAAGGCTCATTCTAGTGTGATGCAGAAATGTTACAGCATATACTCAAATATTAAATATTATGTATCCAAGAGCTGTTATAAATCAGCTTTGTTTAGCAGCGTGTTTTCTGATTCTGTACTAGGATTTTATTTGCCCGTGTGTAAGCTGTAACTTTATGCACAATGAACACAGGTCATCTGTTGGATGCCACAATCAGCTGCAAAGAGACTCCTATGTAGCTGTTTGCTGAGACCTTTAGTATGGTCCCCTATGTGCCCATGGTATATTCTTATTAGCATCCTTACTTTCTACAGTACCTGCCTGTACTGCAGGAAGAAGTGTTCCACAAGAGATTTTTCTCCTTTCTTCATGAAAAAAAATAATTTGTGACTAGTTACTGGAGGAGTCTGGGGTGAAACATCATTTATGATGTACAGGCTGTCAGGATGGATTTAAAGGGAAAGCTTAAAAAAAAGGTAATTAATAATTCTCGCTGAATAGTAAAGAGAGTGAGGCAGTTTCCTACCATTTGGGACTTGGAAAAAATGCTTCCTAATAAAGAGTAATGCAAGGTTTCTGATGTGGAAAAATTAGAAACACAGCAGGGAAGCAAAACAACCAAAAAAGGTTTGATGTCTGGGAAATGAAGCAGCAAGGCTGATATCCACTTAAAAGAAGGAAAAAATACCAAAGTTTTAATTTATTAATTGAATATATAGGAAAGCAGTGGGTTGGAGGGTGTGTTCTAGTACAGGGAAAAGTAGGGATTGGAGAACACAGAACGGAAACAGCAAGGTATAACCAAAGAATTTAAACCTCCATGTGCTGGAGGGAGGACTCCAAGTGTGGCAGTCATGAATATCTCATGTGGGCTTGCAGATCTGTGCCCTGATGGAAAGCCAGGGCAGCCTTACATGCAGGTAGGGGCTAGAAGTGAAGATAAATGATAGGGGGAGAAGGAAATGAATAATGGTTCTGTGCCAGACCTAATCTTCATTTCTCTGCTTTTCCTTCTTTTCCAATTCTGTTGCTTTTTGTCTTGTTTTTGATGTTAAACAGCCTGGGGAGAGTAAGGTGCAGAGTTTCTAGTGTATTCTAATGCACTCTGTAACATGTGGCCAGTAATTCTGAGTGTTCAGCTTCATTCCATACCTGCATCACTCTAAACTACCATAAAAAAATTGCTCTTTTGCTCCTATGCTACTTTGTTTTTTGTAGGCCTAAATGACATGGGGGTTTCCAGCTCTGCACTTCCTAGGGCATCAGCTGATGTGATTATTAAGTATCAGGATTTTTGCCTATTCTCATGTAAGTGCCTCTCAATAAGACAGAAAGTACCCTCTGTCCCTCAGAAAAACTTTGTGAGTGCCAGAATATACTTGCTGTGTCTTGTGATGGTTGATTTTGGCTTGCAGTGCATTTCTCAAAAG